CCCCAAAACCCCAAAACCCCAAAACCCCATTACTAGTTTTTATAGTCTTTAGAGATAGATCATATATTAAAATAAAAATGCAATTTGATAGTGGTAGAGAAGCTAGGAATCAGCTATTGTCTCCTCTTTAATCTCATATGAGTCCATCCCTTAATCATGATGCACTGTAAGTTTACTAGCGTCTTCATGCTTGTATTAGGAAAAATAAATACTATGAATAGAGATTTTAAAATAAATGGTAGAAACTATTAATGTTTAACTCGCTTGTTGAGAGCTCACTATTTTATATCGTGCTACCATTTTTATGGAATTAGACATAAGATGTAAAACATAAAATAACTTATTATTAAGTAGTTTGAGGGAGATTTTGAGAATTTAGCTTGGTTTATTGCATTATTTGCTATAGGAGAGTACTTAGGTTAGTTTTTATGGGGAGTAATGTATAGCTAAGCTTAGATGAAGTAATAAAATCATCAGAATTCTTAATTGAGATTATTAGATTGCTCATGATTTTGTCTATGATTGTCGGTCTAATTGGGTCAGGATTGTTTGGTTATTCAGGTACATTTAAAAGCGATATAGCTTAAGCTGATACTGATAATGGTAAACTTTTTGTGAATAACATTCTACAGATAGTGGCATCAACTTTATAGGGTGGGGAAGACTCTTGCAAGGAATCTGGTAGGGTTCATCTACAATTATTACCTAGGCCTATGTTGCTGAATGCCTAAGCAAAGACTAAAATATCAAAATGATTAACAATATCACTATAGCTTAGATCGGCGGAATGATACTAGGCCCACTGCTTGGAATCTTCATCAATAAAGTTAATTTTTCTGTAAGTAAAATAATATTCAATTGATTATGATCTATAGATTGGAACGATGATTTTCAAATAAGACACAATCATTGGCTATTTTTCGGTGGGTATGCTTATCATAATAATCTTATCAACAATCTTGGTTTTCTAAGAAATTCCTAAATAATTTAGAAAACAAAATTTAAGCCTTTACAAAGCATCTCCTAGCTTTAGAAAAGCCGAAGGTGATTACTATCAATCTAATACATTCAATCCTCAGTCAGGTTTAAATGAGGGATATCAATAATTTTAGCAGCTATTACTTTCAAATCAATCAGATCTATACTTTCAGAATTACTTTTAGCCTAATCAAAGCTTCTCGAATAGTGAAACTAATATAGATATCACTAAATTTGTAAAAAATAAGGACTTGATTGCAGCTACTAACATATCAGAGGATGAAATAAGAGCACTGTATAGTTAGCCTCCGAATTCGGCAGGAGTCTTCATAACAATGATAATCTAGGTATCAATAGTAAACATCTTATCGATAATTGAAACAATGGTAGCTCCAATAATAATGGATAAAAATGCAGTTATCACTGACAATTTAAATCTAGGTGGAAATTATACAGCAGGATTTTTCATAATAATGGGATTCTGTGGCTTAGTCAGTTTCTATTTATTTAAAAAGTTTTATGAGGAATAAAAAATCAACAAGCTTAGTGATCGTTCTTTTGTGTTCACAACTCTAATCTTTGGACTCTTAGGTTCTTTAGCTTTAATAGATTATGAAAGAAGATAGATTTATCAAATTCAGCTATTCCTTGGTTTTAGTTTATTATCAATCTCCTACTTCATAGGAAAAAGAGTAGCTAATCAAATGTTTGCTAAGCTAATTGGAATAAACTCAACTAATAAAAACCACAGATATCAGATAATGATGACTTTATTTATGGCAGCAATTAGAGTATCAGGAGCTTTTTGGAATATACATGCTGCGAACTAAGGAATGTATCTTATTTTTATCGTGGAAAGCTGTGCCATAGTCTTGAGTATTTTGCTAATGACCCTGTTCATTGAGAAATTATCACCTCATTACTCATACTTGATTGAAAAGCAAAGAGAAATTCTAGCTGGTTCAGACGGAAAAAGTGGGTTGATTAATCAAAGAGATATGAGATTACTCGAGACTCCAGAATATCAAGGCCTGCCCATGCCTATTCAGTAACAATCCAATAATGTTAGACTTACAAACAGATTAGCTTGAATTTAAATTCATTAATTATTATTGATTTCTTAATTGCAAATTATAAATCAGACGGGGTTTTGGGGTTTTGGGGTTTTGGGG